ATTAAACAATCGCTAACAAAGCAAATATCATATTTCTGATTAAATAAAATATGAAATTCTTTATGGGTTTGAACCCTAGCTTTTAGATACTTTGAAGTACGCTTTCGAAATATTACTACAATGTAGCATACTTCAGGTCCGTCTTTGATCATGTGCTAAGAGTGCTTATGCATATAACCCCATTTATTTTTTTAATTTTTCTTTGTGTATTTAGGACCCTAAATTTAGAAAATAATTGTGAAAAGAGTCCATTTTTATTTTTGATCAGTATGAACCCTAACATTGATTTAAGATAATTGGTTTGCACAGGGGTCATGTTTACTTTAAGACAGGTCTGGCATACATGCCACAGTATTTCTTCATCCTCTCCAAGACTCCAATTGAAACTTTTCTGCGAAATTAAATAGTTAGTTTTCTGCCCTCTCTCACCTATATATAGTTTCACTATCATGAGGATGACTTGAGTCTCTTAATATTTCATTTAAACATTAATCAATATGTGGTTTAAGATCAGGGGCAGATGTAGAACACAATTTTACTGGGGCCAAATCATATGTAACTAAACATATAAAGCTAAAACATGATTTTCAATAAATGTTAAATAACAAAATTTTGGGCAAGTTACAATGAATTTAATAATTTTATAGGGGGTAAGTACTACCTTTTGGGCTTAGTGGAAGTAGGCATGGGCATTCAGGGTTCCATTTGGGTTTCAATTTTATCCAATCGGGTTTCGGTTCTTCGGGTTTATCAGTCTCATTCGGATTATTTGAAAATTCGGTTCGGGTTCTATCGAGTTCAGATTGGGGTTAGTAAATCTTTAAAGAACCGGTACAATTCGTTATACTTTCGGATTTGGGCCCCAATCGGTTCTTTAGTTTATAAATACTTGATTTGTACCTACTTTGTAACCAAAACATAAGTAAAATCGGTTCTTCAGATTTAAAGTACCTAATGTGTAAATATTTTGTAACCAAAAAATAAGTAAAACTGATTTAAAAATAAGAAAGGAACATCAAACTTGATCATTCAATAATAACAAAACATTAATCTAAACATTTCAAGTTTCAACCGCCACTTTCAACCATTAACCTTTATGTAATAGATAATTATTTTAGATGTTTACTAATATCTTAAAATATTTTGGATATATAATAGGAATTAAGATCATGTTCGGTACACGTTCTTATTAAAATCTTTGAATGTTTCGGGTTCTACCGGATATCCATTTAATTTCGGATTCGATTCGGATAATATCCATATCCCGAAATACCATAAAACAAGATTCATTTGGTAATTAAATTGGATTTGGATTGATTCGGATTCATTTTTATTGGAATGGGTTCGATTCAAGTTTTCGGGTTTGGTTTATTTGCCCAGTCCTAAGTAAAACCACTCTTTAAGATGGCTACTCGGTCTTCTCTTGATGAATATTGATTCTTGTCCAATAAAAGTACTCACCAATTGAAGCTTTCTATATGTCTCTTTTTGGGTTGAGTCATGATTAGTGAAAATGGGATTAGGTATTCATGGTTTTGTTCGCACTGCTTCTATATCAGATGTTCCATCACATAGATAAAATTTACTTTGGAGAAGACAAAAAAAGCATTTGTAATAGTATTTTGAAGAGGCCCCTTCAAAGGGTCAAAAACTCAAATGCAAGGGTTCAGATTTCGCCAAAGACATATTTTCAGAACTCTTTTAATCAAAACTACGTCGTTTATTTTGTTAATGACTAACTAGCTTATATTATGTGTTCAAAAGAAAAAGGTTAACTAGCTTAGAACATCTCCGACGAGAGTCTTTAAAGGGAGACCTTAAGAAAAAAAAATTAAATAATGAATGGATCCTTAAAAAAATTAGGGATTCGATCTTTAAAATCTCTAAATAAGAACTGTTTCTTAGCGAATCCTTACACTATTTGCGGATTCCCACGACACATGACGGCCTGCAATTGGTTAGAGTTCTTTTTTAACCCGAATAAAATTTAAAAATTAAAAACAGGTTTTTTAACGATTCCAACTGACTAACACCGTTAAAGATGTTCTTATATATTATGGTCATTATAGATTTACACACGTTTTGAAAAGTCAATATAATTCCTTTTAATTATAATTGAATTAATGTCGTATTTAACCCGATTACTTATCTAGATTGTATTGATCAATATTGAAACTGTTATGATTAAAATATGCCATTTTCCCACTTTGAAGTTTTCGAACCTAGTATTTGAGTTAACTCTTTAAATTAAATATCATCAAAATCTGGAACACTTAAAAAAACATTAGATTTTTGAAACATTATGGTAATAATATGCTTTACTAGAATTCCCGTTTCTTAAAATTATATATATATATATATATATATATATAAGTTTTAACATTTTCTTTGAATTACATATCTCTACAATTTTATTTGGAAAGTCAATTTCTTATATGTCATGTTAATGTTAATTCTGAAGATGGTTAATCACATAGGTATCATTAATGAATAAACCTAATTATCATTATTAGACATTATTTTATTTTTATTTCTTATTTATTTAGATTTCCTTTTTCTTTATATTGTTTTTTCAAAATAACCCATATAATAAAGAACCTTTATAAAAAATTAAACACAAATAAATTTTACCCTTTATAAAAAATTAAACACAAATAAATTTTACAACAATGTGATTCATAAAAAAAAATTATTTTTTTTTGAATTTAAAGTAAATAAATAATATTCTCTTTCAAAAGATAACCTTAGACAACAAAATAGATTTTAAAAAAATAATAACTATTTTATTTAGTCAATCTATTTCTCAAATTATTACAAAATAAATGAAATATCATAAATTAAGATATTCTAATGAATAAAAACCTATTTTCTTATTCTCTTTATTTTAATATATATTTCTTTTTACTTTTCTAAATAACCCATAAAATAAAGACCATACATACAATTTTAAAACAAAAATATAATTTTATAATGTGATTATAAAAGGAAATTCACTTTAAAAAATGAAAGTTTACAAAATAATATTGAATTTGAATTAGTGAAATAATCTTCCATTTTAAAAGATAATCTTAATCAACATTGTATATATTTTAAAAGTAATAAGTCTTTTATTTAAATTAATATATTGCACTGATTCTTGCAAAAATGATTTAAAGAACATATTCTAAGATAATTTTTAAATAATAATAATACTACTAAATATATTTATAAATCATAGAAAAGGATCAAATTCAATGAAAATAACAAAATTTATCAAAATTTATAGCACAAAAATCTTATTGTTAAAATTGGTAAAGTAGCTGTTATCTCATATATCCAAATAATAACCGAACAAATGTTATATGTTCAAAACCGTACGTCTAATGAAAATAACAAAATGTTATTAAAAATAAATCATGTATATCAATTATAATATATATTAAAAATAAATTTCGAAATAAAATAAAATATTAATAAATTATTGTAATATATTTATTTTGTAAATATTTATATTTGTGTATAAATACGGAAAAATCACCTAATAAAAGTACTTGTGTATTTGCCATCAAATTATTTTTTAACCAACTAGATTTTTCCTTGTTCTAAAAAGCGACGATTTGATCCGAGAACGCGGCGAATACACGTTAGACGGTAAGGAACTATAGCAATTTTAGTCTAATCGGATTAACAAAATCGGATGCTATGAAAAAGCTCAAGTGTTGGCTCGTTTTAATCCATAAATTGAAGTTCTACACTATATCTATTTTGTGAGGACTAAAAGAATAAAAAAAAACAAAAGGAAATGATGGGAAAACGAAAAACAAATCTGTAGCCGTCACAAAAAATTCCAGAAAATAAACTCTAAGAAAAAGAAGATGATTGGTTAATTATGAATTTGTCCCTCATTAAAGAAAAACAAGAAAATTCATAAAATTTGTGGTCAATGTTATTCGAACCTAGGCTGGGGGGTGTGGGAATAAAGCTCTCGACCACTACACTAAGACAAATTTCTAAAACGCGACGATTTGATCCGAGAATGCGGCGAATACACGTTAGGCAGTAAGGAACCGTAGTAATTTTAGTCTAATCGGATTAAAAAAATCGGATGCTATTAAAAAGCTCAAGTGTTGGCTCGTTTTAATCCATAAATCGAAGTTCTACACTATATCTATATTGTGGGGACTAAAAGAATAAGAAAAAACTCAAGGAAATGATGGAAAATCGAGAAACAAATCTGCAGCTGTCAGAAAAAAATTGCAGAGTATAAATCCTAAGAAAAGAAGATGATTGGTTAATTACGAATTTGTCTCTCATTAAAGAAAAACAAGAAAATTTATAAAATTTGTGACTAATGTTATTCAAACCTAGGCTGATGGCGTGGGAACAAAGCTCTTGACCACTACACTGAGACAAATTTCTTATAAATATAGGCAACCAATAAAATATATACGTTATCATATAAAAATACTCTAAAACAAATTTCTGATTAATCCTCATATATTTTCCGATTAATTGATTTGGCGTTAGGCGTCACCCGACCGCACGTGTAGCACCTAGCGAGATTCCGAACAAAGAGATTTTTGCTAAGATTTTGCTTTTCTCGAAGCCAAAATAAGATAACGAAAGAAAACGACTTTTCTAACTTTGCCGTCGGTCAATAAGACATACGCGATGATGTAATTTTCTGTTCTTCGAAACTTCTTATATCCATAATATTTATTTTGGAAGAATACAAAATTCTGAGACCTAAGATTTTTGACCGAGTTATAACGCTTCATTCATCAGATCCGGTCAATTTCATATTTTCAATTTTAAATACTATTTGGAACGAGTTTCTTTCTATCGATTTTATAAAACAAATATTCTTGTCGCGTCCAAACTTTAAAAATTAATACAACTCCCGTATATTAATAATACAAAGGTCTTCTCTCTTTGTCTGTCCAAAATTTCTTGAAACTCTCCTAATCTCACAAGAGCAACACAAAAGTAGAGAAACTAAAGGATCATCGATCGAACCAAAAATGGTGAGCCCATTTAGATCTCCATGTACTTCGCCAAGAAAATCAAGAAAAGTGAGCAAGAACCCTTATTCAAACCGTGGACTTGACAAATTCTCTGAGCTTCTCTCAGAACTCGACGAGAAGAGACAGAGCATCTACTCCAAGAAACTCGACTCCGGTGGCCCACCTCTTGTCCGGTTTGTGTTCACAAGCTCCGGTGAGTGTGTCCCCGTCGTGATCAAGTCATCTAATCTTCATAAACAGAAGAAGACCAAAGATGTTGCAGCTGCTCCTAAAGTCAAGACAGTGGTCAACGAACCGAATACAGAGGAAACGAAGAAAACAGAACCTGAAACAGAGGAGAAACAGAGCTGTGTTTTGAACGAGAATCTGAAGAAGATCACGAGACCGAACCGTTTCTTGCCCGTGACAGTAATACTAGTTCTTGTTTTCTTGGTTTTCTTTGGAAGATCTGTTGCGATTATGTGCACTTGTATTGCTTGGTACTTGGTTCCAACGATCAAGGACCAGAGCGGAAACAAAGGATCTTCAACATACGCGATGAAGAAGAAAGACTTCGCTAGGAAATTAAGTATTGAAGACAGAGCATCGTTTAACCCAAGAACTGTTCGTCATCATTCTCCTCGCAAGTAGAATTTTCGTATTTTGGCTGCTCGTGAAAAAACCGCGTGACCGACCAAAAACGTTTTTTTTTTTTTTTTTTTTGTGGAAGTTCTTTGGTTTATTTTCTTGCCTTCTTGGTATCTTTTGCTTTAATCTCTGTTCTTGGAAAACTGTGTATTTTTGGACAGCTGAACTAGCAGAAATTTGTATATTTATTCCCCTAGAGTTTTAATTGTTATAGCTGTAAATAGAGCCCCTGTAAACATGCAATTCGAAAATGTTCTTGTTTACATATTATCTACTGACTACTGTAAACATAATTCGAAGCCTCAAACAACTTCTATCAACAAATACAATCAAAGCTTCACCGGCTTTATCAAACTTTTTTTTGGTTGTCTAAATTTATTTTAATTTTGGTAAAAGTGTTCTACTTTTATTATCAAAGGAAGATAGTACTTCAAAAAAATAAAAAAAATAAATAAAGGAAGGTTAGTACTTAAACCGAAAGTTTTAGGGGAGACAAAACCGGAAATGGTCAAAGCCCATTCTGAACCAACATCCAAAAAGAAAAGAATATATAGATCAAGTAGAGCGAAAACAACACAACACTACTAGAAAAGCATTTCCAATATAAAATTCTGTTTTTCTAAATGTAAATATTTATATAATAAAGTTAGTTCTACTCTAATTCTACTATGTATTGGAGTGAAAAAGAGTAATGAATAAATTAAAATGAATTATTTCATTTATGAAATAAACTCACTTTTTACATATTATGTAGAGCATTTCTAATCCAATTATATTTTTCCTCTAAAAATGAGTAAAAGAAAATATAGAGTAGAAATACTCCAATCTTACTTCATTTCACATTCACTTTTTACATATTATGTAGAGCATTTCTAATCCAATTATATTCTTTCTCTAAAATTGAGTAAAAGAAATATAGAGTAGAAATACTCTAATCCTACTTCATTTCACATTCAATTAAAAAAGCCTATTTTGTAAATAAAATAATCTATTTTTTGTTTGTTCATCACTCCATTATCGCTCTGAATGGTAACGTGAAGGACAACTGCGGTCCAAATATGGTGTTTCAAATAGTAAAAAAAAAATGTATAGATACATAGCTATATGTAGAGATTTTTGTTATTATACAGCGGTGCGGGGCGGTACGATTGGTTTCCACTCGAAGCAATATGATGTGAAAAATAGAGTGGAGTTAGAGCTTTTTACTCCATATTCTCTTTTACTCCACTTCGGGAGAAAAATATAATTTTACAATCGGACAACTGTTATTTGTAAAGGATAATAAGAATAGAAATCAAAATTACAATATTTAAATAAAGAAGAAAAGACGAATTTCATAGTTGAGATGATAAAACCTCTTTCCTTAAATTTTTAAACACTACGTAATTTGACAATTTTATATCATTCAGATTTACATGATATAACTACATATGTTTTTGTCTCCTATCCCTGAAGAACATAACATCTTGAACCTATATTTGTGTTGTATTATCAGACACAAAAAAATAGATTAAAACTAAAAACTATTTAAGTGGGAGATTTTTTTGTTATTTACTGGGATATTAACAAATCCTATACGATATAGACTTAATAAAAAAAAACTAATCTCTTTTTCTAGATAGGATTATAAGATTTAGGGTTGTATATAAAGAGACCTTGAGGTCAATGATCACACAATAACTTATATTGACTATATAACTCTCATGGTATTAGTGCCATAACGATTTTTGTGGACCATATCTATCACTTACGTTTCTTGTGGGAATTAGAAGGTGATGGCAATTGAAGAAAATGAAGATGACAATCCGGATGATAAAGTAAAGCCTCACGACTTTTCACAAACTCAAATTTCTTTCAAAATGACATGCGACTCTCGATCTCACGACCTGCGACCTTGAACTCTTGATCTCATGACCTTCTGCTACACACGACAACAACCTCACATGAACTCTATGAACCAACGACTCTACGACCACTTATGACTGTGCAAACTCCACACGCGAACTTGAAACACTTCAAACTCAAACTCTCGAAATGACGTGGTAAGAACTCTTGCAACGTCACCCTCGACTCAACGAACGATATTGACCTCCGACTTTTCTCATTGATGAAACTACGATGTGACAATGACCTCGAACTGATGAAACTGAACTCGACTAAATTAAAATTTGCTGAAACAAAACCGACGATTCAGCAATCTGGTGATTTTGACGAAAGAACTGACGACCGATATGAATTTGAAGACTTGAATTTCAAGTTGGACATACAAATTTGTATGCTCCAACTTGAGGGGGGGGGTATTGGGATATTAGCATATCTTATATGATATAGACTTAATAAAATATTTTCTTATTATGTAATCTCCTTTTCTAGATAGGACTATACGATTTAGGGTTTTATCACTTTCTGCATAGCGTGTTACCTCCAATGGGTCCCTATCAATGCCTCTGAATAGCTTATCATTCCTAGCCTTCCATATGTACCAGATTAGCCAAGTATAAGGGTCTCTTTCCAATTCCGGTTCCATTATTACATTCTTCCTCCAGAATAGATAGTCCATGTTCGCGTACGTGCTTTGTACTGGAAACAAAGCGGGATTGGTAGGCGTAGATGATAGCGCCCAAACTTGTAGTGCAGGTGGACATTCAAATATTGCATGTGTGATCGTTTCCTAGGGTTTCCCAAAACGAGGGCAGTGGTTGTCACATCTCATATGTCTGTAGTTTAAGATGCTCATAACAGCTACATGTCATGTTATTATCTGCCACATAAGATGGCAAATCTTTTGGGGCCCCCTGACCTTCCAAGCATGTGTCTGGAGTTTTGTGATGCTAGGCTCACATACTTCAGATTCATCTTTCTTCCTCAAGATATTTCGTGCTACCCAATATCCAAATTTAATTGTATACTGTCCAGTCTTCGTATACCTCCAGCAGTACGTGTCCCGTCGATGCGTGGAACTAATGGCCATACTCTTGATGAGTGGTATATCAGCTGCATCAATATAATCATGAAGTTGACTATCATCCCAAGTCTTCGTTGTTTGATTAATTAAATCGCTCACTCGCATATTCAGATGTAGTACCGGTGCCAATGAGGTTGCTGGTCTTACAGGTATAGTAGGAATTCAAGGATCTTCCCAAGCTTTAACTTCATATCCCGAGTGGAGTTTTTGTCTAATTCCTGATAATAGCAATTTTCTTCTGGCCGATATATTTGTCCATACATATGATGAGCTGCTAGTATTGATTTGACGCAAAGGTATACTCAATCTGTAATACCGACCTCTCAAGATGCGAATTATCAGAAAGTCCGGATTCTGGACCAGTGTCCAATCTACATTATCTCTCTAACTGATTAGTATAGTTCATCTTTATTTTTATTTTATTTTGTAATCAAGCAATATTTGATTGTGATTATGTTGACTATATAGTTTTCTAAGTTTTATCCTGTTTTTGTTTTTTTTGTTTTTTTAGGATATTCCTTCTGTTGTAATGCTGCCGTCATGTTGTTATCTAGATTGAAACTAGATAATATGCGTTATCGGTAACAGAAAAAAATCAACCCTATCAATCAATCTATGACAACTGATTGGAAAAATAAAAGAAAGAAGCTGACATTAATATGGTAAAGGGGTATGTCTCACGCACATTGTAGATATGAATTGACTTCACTAGAAGTTTTATATAGGTTACGGTCTTTTCAAGGCGTTTTGAGATTAAAAATTCGTTTAATCCACTCATCATTTTTACCAGTTCAAAATGACTTTCTTTTAACTTTCTTATGGTTGTGCTTCTAGAAACCTTACTACTAGGAAATTTATTTTGCTGAAGTTGTGCAACTTTGGTTACGGCGACTAAGAGCATGTGCAGTGATGAAAAAACCAGGTGCGTTTCTCTTTAGATCAAATAATATTGTTCATTTCTATAATTACAGTTTTATTATTTGTAACCAAATCACCAACTACAGAAACAACACCTGTAGAAAAGTATCTTCTTTTCTTTGTGGCAGTACCTCCGGAGACAATCGATTCTGTTGGTTTGTTGTTCTCTCTCTTGCTTTTTCAATATATCTTTTTGACTTTATTATGAGAAACCTAGTGAGATACTATCACTTAATGGTGCCCTAATTTAGCGACTGTCGAACTCATTTGTACAACCAAAAAGTCCAAAACTAGTCAAAAGTTTGTATTCTCATTGTTTCAAAGGCAAATACAATTCAGAAATAGAAAACGCTAGTCCAGTCTAGTTTGGGTTGGTGTACTTTACCAAACATAATAGATGATGATTCAAAGGCATAAGAACAGAAATCAGATCATGAACTCAGAAATCTAAAATACAATTTCACTGTATTGAACAGTCTTCTTAGACCTCATCTTAGTGTTTTACTCCTGCCAATAAACAGGTTTAAGACATCAGAATCATCTTTGTCTGGATTCAGTATCTCATAAATATATGATCATATATTATACATACCCTGAATCTCTTTCGACGTAAATCATCCGTACTGTATCCAGCAGTCTCGTTCCTGTATCCATCATCTCTGTGATCCGATGCCCTCCTCGAGTTCCGGAAGAAGCCAACCTTGTCCCATGTTAGTTCATAGTCTGCCTTTAGCCGAGTACCTTCCTGCTCAGATGACCCCCAAAAGAAAAAAAAGAATGCATCAGTCATGTTCCAATGCCTCAAGTTCCCTAATTCTTTTCCTATACACAATCAAACTAAACTCCATCTATTTACTTTCAAACAAAAGCTATACTGTACAGGGATGTTACATAACTGATAAAGTTACATAAAATATTAGATTCCAGAATATAGTTTTGGATACATCAACAATAAGAGTTCAGGAATCAGCAGAAACAATCAAACTTGGGTGCTATTTAAGGAGCTTAGACATCAGAACAGAGAAAGCCCAAAAGATGTGTCTAGTAAAATGCTTGGTGTAGATATTGTACCTTTTGCATTGAGCGGCCACAGAAAGCCTTCATGGCATTCACAAAGTCGTTGTACTTCTCGAACTGAACAACAATCTTACAATAGAGACCTGATACGAGGTCTCCACTGTACTCATCTGCGTCCTTACCTAGATTATCGTCCTCAGCAACATTAAAATTCCTATAGAAGATGCGTTAAACCAGCACAACATGGATTTATTGAATAACAGTATTGTATAAATAATATAATATCAGACTCATTGGTAAACAAAACAAATGAGATCCTCTGATCAGAAGAGTAAAATATTCCAACATACATGGTACAGCAAGTTTAATACAATGACCATAATAAGATATATAAAGCAGAGAAGTTCAAATGAGACCCCAATTAGTTGTTAGGAAAAAGATATCATCCACGAATTGAACTTAGTAAAGAAATATCATACAAGATGTCATCTCTATGTGTAAATGTAAAAGCATAAAATCTAAGGAGCACCACAGCAATGAAATTTTAGTAATCAATCTCAATTCCCATAGTGTCACACTTTTGAAGCAAGTTTATGAATTTTCTCTCTCTTTCTCTGTCGGATAAAAAAAGGTTATAATTAGAGAAACACGTAGTTCTAACTACCAATATTCAAAACGGCCATGAAATATGACAAAATCTTACGTACGGAATCAATTGATGAACCATAAGGACAAAGCTAGTTCTCTGTTTTCATATACACGTCTATGTACTAGCATCCTATGTGTTAGATGAAGCGTATCCAAAGCACCACATAAAGTTAAACCCAATGAATAGTGTGATAAGCAAGCCACATTGCCCTATTCATTAAGGTAAATAAAAACGGCAGTTTTACACGAACATAGTCAAAACTGGACATGAAAGGAGGAGCGAACGTTACCTGATTTTGCCAAAGGTGGAGAAGATAGTATGAGCAACCAACATAGAAGGCTTGGAAGAAACTCTCGGCTCTGCAAACCATCTTGATGGCACACCTCTCAGTATCATCGTATCAGCTTCTCTCCTTGCCTCCCTTGGATGTCCTGCCAAATCAAAAAAAAAAAAACAAATCAAAACACTTTGAAACAAAATGAAACTAAAAAATGAAAGAAACCTCTAAAGATTACCAAAAGCGTAAAACTCCTCCCAATCTTTCTTCAACCTCTCGAAATCATCTGAAATCGGAAGCACCACACTGAGACTATACTTGACTCCTTCCAAATTCACCTCAATACCATTCATCTTCTCCACCAAACCCTTCCTCCAATCCAAAAACTTCTTCTCCAAACCCTTCACATCATCATCCTCCTTCTTCTTCTTGCCTTGGAGAAACCCTAAATCTCGGATAAACAAGGACCCATGTGCCACTGGCTCATCACGCTTCCGCTTCTTCAAGTCCCTGTGACGCCGAACCACGATGTCTTCTTCCGAAATAGTGACGGAGGGGAAAGTTGAGTTCTTGAGGAAGTCTATCAAGGATCGCTTGAGTTGCCACTCGTCGATGGGTTTTGAGACGGAAGGGACTAGAGGGTGGATTGTGAGAGAGAGCTTGACGCGTGAGACCAGAGAGAGTCCGTTCTCGATTTCTAGGGTTTCAGTCGGGGACAGCTCTTCTAACGACCGCATGTTTTCGCCGGCGATTTCTAGATTTGGGTCTTCACTGTTTCTTCGGCTTTTCACTTACGGCTAACTGGATCGTACGAGTAGAGACATTCTTAATCTTATTGAATTCAGTTTTTGCATTATTGAACAAACCGAACCAGAACCAAAACTAGACCGTAAACTGCACCATCCTCAACGGTACAAGTTTTAAGTTTGCAGAAAAAATGAAAAAGCATCTCTCTTCTCTCACTTATCCTTCACTGAGACCGAAAGAACTTTCTTTTTAATTGAAATGTTAAATTTATTTATCAACAAAAGAAAAAATGTTTATAATATTAAAATTTTGGTAAAATTACAAATTCAAGAAAAGATTTTGGGAGAGTGATGAGCCATCCAAGCAATCCTAGGTGCTTCTCTCCTGACAAATTGATGAGAGTAACGAACACAAAAGTGTTTATGGAAAAATTATATTAGCCTCTCATGAAAATAATATTACAAGATGCATTGTTTATATAGATATAAATCAATATAATTTTTTAAACTAATATGGAATACTATATAATAGATAATGATAAACTTCCTATATTAACATATTGATGTATATCCTAATATTGATCATTGGATTAGGTCGATCTTATAGATCTCTCAATACCCTCCCTCAAGCTCATACGTGGTAACACGTATGAGATTGAATAATCTTCAAAATATAGTAGTAAAAATAACTTAAAGATTTGTGAAACGACGGTGGTTGATTGTTGTCGAATCTTGATAATGTCACATAACTCTTTTGCGATTTCGCGAGTTGAGATAGGTGATCTGATTTTTTTTGGTTTGATTGTTTGTTTGTTTTATCCATCCTACAATGAGATGATTATTTGATGTCCAATCTTCACGGTAGGGTGAATCGGCTGCCAGTAAACTGCCGTTAGAAAAATCTTTCGTGAGCTAATAGTCATACGAAAGTTGATGAATGAATCCTTGCTTCAAATTGAGAAACAAAAGAATGGAGAATAAGTCTGCTGATTTACAAAGTCAACAAGACACTGAATAAATTTCTTCTTCTTCAAGTTGTGAATAAAGAAGTTCTGCATGAAACGTTGTTGTACATCGATTTTTGCAGAAACAACACGATGGATCGAAAGATTTTTTGATTTTATATTTTTTCTTGCTCTGATACCATGGCAAATTGATGAGAGTAACGAACACAAAAGTGTTTATGAAAAAATTATATTAGACTCTCATGAAAATAATATTACAAGATGCATTGTTTATATAGAGATAAATCAATATAATTTCCTAAACTAATATGGAATACTATATAATAGATAATGATAAATTTCCTATTCTAACATATTGATGTATATCCTAATATTGACCATTGGATTAGGTCGATCTTCTAGATCTCCCAATATCTCCAGCCACCTAATCATCATGGTGGTGTAGAGAGCTGCGTTCCTGGAATGTAAAGAGGACATTCTATTGTGAATGGTTCTATCCATTGTACGTATGAATTCAGAAGTAGTTTTCGTTCACACCAAACTCCATGTATGATTGTTTGGAAAGTTACCCGTAGAAGGCACAAGTCTGTAGCACTAGGCCTAGGAGAGAGGAGTTTTGTCACCGTGAAGTTACAGTCAGGTGTAGAAACGATTTTTGTTTGTTTGTTTGTTTGTATCATACTTTAATCTATTTGATCGACTTTTTGTTCAGTTTAATCGGATTTTATTTTTGTTAGACGAATTTTGGGGTAATCATTCAACCAAATCAGGTTTGATTTGAATAAATCCTCTGATTCTTTATCGGAATTTCCCAGAGTAGCTCTGTAGGTTTTATATGATTCCACCCAAACTCATTTCAATCGAACTTATAGATTTTGGGGTGGGTAGTTTCCAATATTTGTAAACTCAAATTGGAAGATGAACTGGACAAATTATTTGGATCACATTTCAATATGCTTCGACCAGTTTAAATCTGGTTTAATATATTTTTAATACATAATTTAAAAGTAACATTAATAAATATGATACATAATCCAAACATAAATATATTAAATTTGGGTAGGCTTGTCCTACGGGCGGATATACTTTACTTGTGATCTAGGTTATTACTATTTGCATGATTTTATAGTTTGTGTTTTAGGTTTGCATTTGAAAAAAAAATATGCATGATACACTTCAAAAAAAAATCATATTATATCACATAAATAGTATCAGAAAAAACAAATGATACCAATTTGAAACACCTAAAGGAAGCTGATGTTGTTTAAAGACCATATAGGATTTGTATAATCGTGGTAAGGAGAGTAGAAGTATGTTGTAAATAAAGTTTTCTTCTATGCTTATTAAGTAGGTATTGTCAATTGAGAAATATTTAGATTTTAGGAAGACTATTACTGTAGTTAGAAACTTGACGATTAAGTTTTGGTAGCGGCTCTTTTTTCATTGGAGCATTTAGCCTTAGATGTCTAAATTGAATTGAAGATTGACTATATTTTGTAGGCCCGTTAGAGTCATTGTACTATTATGTTTGTTTAGGTTGCATTGTGACGCTTTTTTAGTAGCCAAACATGTTGGGCTTTTTTCCCGATTTTGTTATGTTCTTGTGGTGTGATTACTCTCTTCTTTGCCATGTAACTTGTGAGTTTTATATTATTTTGCTGCAGCATTTTGTTGTGTAATATTTTTTTTTATATGGATGTTTCTTTAAAAAAATTTACAAATGTTTTGTTTGTGGTATATTTTATTTTAGATATGATTTAATAAGGTCTAATAAAAGAGGATCAGAAGTTAAATATTGAATATTAAGTAAAGTTTGCTAGATCCATCTCATGAACATACAAAAACAAAAGTTTTGTTTTTGGTATTTATTAATCTTGCATTTTTTTTCTTCATTATTTAAACGTTTGATCTGAGGGAAGACATTCATAGTTTGCATAAAGTTAAACCACTCGTACAAACGTTGAAGTCAAACAAAATTTATAAAATGCATTAACCAGAAAAAACAAAATAAACAAAATTTATAAGATGGTTAAGAAATTAATTTTAAGAAACTGTTACCAGATTCCACCTATATAGTTTTTTAAAGTGTAATTAACATTAAGGAAAACAAATATTGATTCCAAACCATTTTTCAAAAAGAATATAGTGGGTTGCCAATGGGAACGATGCCCTCTTGGCAACCTTGAAAGTTTCTATAGTTGGTGCTTCCTCAAGGTCATCACCATCAGTGTTCACCTTATTAGGCACTGAGATATTTCCAGGCACGTCATCGCCAATGATCATTGTTGCCATTCTCATAAGAATGTCACTCTTCATTATTTCCATACTACATGACCAGAATGGAATATAATTGAAAACATAGCTGTGAAATAGTAGCTGTTTACTCTGCCCCGGAAAGTGTATGTCTTGCCAGCCATGTCTGCAATAAAAGGGGTAGCTATGTGTTTTCTGGATTCTCTCCCTCTCCAACCTATGTGTCCAACTAATGAATTGCAAATGAATAAATCAATAATTTGAGGATAATGGTGGATAATGATATGTCTTATGGTAGGCATGTACCAAAAGATGCACAGCTATATAGGCTCGGATGTTATGTAACTTCAGCATTTCCTCATCGAAACCAACAAATAGACTTTCAGCAGTCTCATCAGCAATAGTCATCTCCACATGATAACTAAGATGTTTAACTTGTATTTTGGTTGCTGATGTGTCTATGGGACCTCATTCTACGTAATTAGAAAATCAAGTAAATGTAGGGTCCAACATACCGAAGGACACCAACGGTGTTGGTGTTATTGCAGGTTGGAGAAGTAAAGAATGAGACAGTCCGCTGAAACTTCTTTTTGGTAAGACCTGCAAATTTTAAACTATTTTTTTTTTGGTCTCTAGGCTAAGGGACCACCTATAGCATACAATCAAATAATAATCTCACCTTTCTGAGTGTAGAAGAAGAGTTTGCTTCTGGGAGGTCCTTAAAATTCAGTATCCAATTTTTGTGCATTATAACTGTATGGAGTGGAAAAACAATGAACCATGTGTATGTACGATTCAAATTTCACAGACTATTACTAACCATTTGTCTTCTTCTTTTTTTGACGAACTAAACATTTGTCTTTTTTTTTGACGAACTAATCTCAGGTAAACTCATTATCTTCACATTTCATATTTGTTTTCTAGGTTAGATCTAGTCATGATCATTTTAATGTCACAGATTTAATTCACTGGAATAGCTATGAAAAAATAGTCGCTACAAGAATCCAGACTATTTGATATCAATCTTCAAACAGTGGATTGTATTGGTAAGTTTTTTTTACTTCTATTTTCAATTTAATAGTAGTATAACGTAAACAACAAATAAACAAGAACCAATATTTATTTGTTAAATATTTATATTTTTATCTAATATATACTTTACATTTAAATATTTGTTATAGAACATATCATTCAAAAAGTTGTTGCAAAATCAATTGACGAGATATCTTCTCTCATAATTTCATGTATTTAATATTGAATTTTTATAGTGAAATCTGTCAACCAAAATTCTGGTACAATCCAGTCACGAAATATTATCCTTTACCTTTACCAACAAGATATTCCAAAAATAATCTTATTTTATAAGTATAATATTTTTGAAAATTTCTTAAAGAATATTGTATTTCAAACTTTCTCGTGAAAACTAATATCGTTTAGATACGTTTACCAATTTACTATATATAAGACATTAATAGCAGAGAAACGAGGTCACTAGATTTTTATGATATTATTTTTTCTGCACTGGTATTTATAAATTTATTTTATTTTAGAATGTTAAGACTTTATATATATACATAATTTTTTGTTTTCTGATTCTGGTTTTGGTTTATGTGCAGATGATCTATCATAATGATTCCTCTTTTGAAGCCACATATGATTTGATCATTATTCGTTTTATTTTATTTTCTATCTTTAACAGTTATCTTTTTTTTTATTAATCTCAGGTTATTAATTCATTATCTTCACATTTCATCTTTATTTTCATGTTAGATCTGGGACAATTGTCTTAATGTAAATCATTATCTTAGCAAATTTATATGATTTAATTACAAAAACATATCAGAAACTTTCTAATTATATAGGGATGTTCCTAAGAATATTTTAAATTTATTTTGTTAATCGATAAAATAAATGTTAAATATTAAAACCATATTTAAAAAGTATAGAAATCTATATTGAAATGAATATCTTTGTTGTTTTATAAACTACAAAGCAAAACAAACTTCCACAAATTATAAACATAGTAGGTTATCTCATACAAAAACACATAATCCACTTTTTATAGAATTTAAAAAGAAAATTATATCTGCACTTTGAAATATATATGATGTCAAGTAAATTTTTAATGATTTGGAATATATTTTGTGAAATATATTTGTGATAAAAATACTCAAATTTTACCCACTAATTTAAACAGGACAGGTTCAGGTATAATTTTTCCCATTTGCGTGTCAAATTTTTGTATAAAAATGATTCAATTTGTAGCGGAATGGGTCGACCCGCAAACCCAACAATAATTTATATTATGGTACATATAAAATACTATTAATTATATGATGAAATGTATATGATATATAATATTGATATGAAAAACAAATAGAAATATATTTTTTGAAAAATACACCCGCGCAGACGCTTGAGTCAAAATCTAGTTGCTATCTTATATATCTAACATAATCATGTTTATTTGTAGTCATCCAATAACTACAATACCATAATTCTAGTATAGGCAACAACATGTCAATACATCATTATAAAGAACATAAAATAAAACATAGATCACCAAGAACATTTCTTGAACAAAAACAAAGACATTCTTGGGAAGATGATGTGATAATAATATAAGCTAATACATAAAAAAAATTGCTGGAGCTGAGGAATGAAGTCACTCGCCAAAGTTTAGATAAAGAGAGTTTGACCACCGTGCTTCTTGGTATGATGTAGCTTCTACGATCTTGGATAATTTTGCTCTTTTGGGTCTTCTCGAGCTATGTTTTAACCAAATTTATTCATATTAATCTTCGATGATCTACTGGTACATATGTAAGTTGATGGTTGTTGCTTCAGTGGTGTAGAAGTTGTGTTTAGGAGAAGTGCTCTTTTTTTATGTTTTGGTGTAAATGTTTATGTCATGTCTCCATTTATGTAATGGGATTATCCGGCTCCAGTTCACCAATAAGGTACTTTATCTCATAACTTCTTAATTCGTAAGAAGTTGCAAGGTTAAATGATTTTTTTTCTAGTATTCTCGGATTGATTTTCAAGCTTTTGATTACGGTAGCTCTTTAGTTCATTGGAGCGTTATAACAATCAAGCTTGTATTATGATCCAAATAATGTCGTCTTTAAATAGGAGAAACTACAAAGGTTAACATACTAGTAGTACTCTTCGGTCTACTCCACCTCAACTAAATATCCTCTGAATCAAGAAGGATTGAGGTATTTTGCACTCCTCATTTTGCAAGGGTACCTTCGATTTTTTTCGTCTTTTTGTATTGGTTTATTCTTGTAATATGTATTTTCATATGTATGTCTATGTTCGACCAGATTTGGTCATGAACTTATCCAACAAACGAAACAGCGTAAAAAAGACTCTAAAGAAAGAAAACAAAAACTAATCCAATTTTGAAAGATACAAAACCAGAAATTTTATCATATGAATCAAGTGAAATGGTAGAAATATTTGATTGAAAGTGAAAAACAAAAGAAAACTGCAAAACTTATATAAACATCTATGATCTAGAAGATGTACAAGACAAAAAGATTGTGTTATGCGTTAATAATATGAAGTTACAGTTTTCTATTTTTATCTCACATTTTCAGTTATGTTTTTTGGACCCAAATTTATATCATTAAAGCTCATAATAGAGTATTTACATTTATAATTTATAAAATTAAGAAACTTCTAGAATTAACTGATTTTATTTAATAATATCATAAATCCTGTTTAAATCCAAAAATAAATTTTATATTTTTAAAATAATTTATAGTCAAATTATTTTGTAAATATAATATTTTACATTTAAAATATGATTTAATTTTAAAAATAAAATTACATAAATAAAATTATATTTTAAATGTGAAATGCTTTCTTTTAAAACAAAAAAAATGATTAATTTAAAATTTATTTCTAAAATATAGAATTTATTTCTGGATAAGAACATAGTTTTGATATTATTAAATAAAAATATATATTTTCTTAATGTTATATATATATATATACTAGTGGTTTGTCCGCGCTATGCGCGGAATGTGAACATTTATAATTTATAATAATTTACAGTTTATAATATAATTTACAAAAGAATAAATATTACTTACTTTCTACATTTGTTTTTTCAATTTAGTTCAGTAGTACAAAAATTGTGATATTTATTTGGCATATTTTTTTGATAGTGTTTTTTACTGAAACTTTGTATTGGTAGCGTTTAATCTTTTAATAATATAACTTATAACTTTTTTTATATGAGAGAGTACTTTTATTAATTTCTTTTTTTTAACATTTCTGAGTTAGAACTTTAAGTGTTTTAAGATATTTTTATTACTTCAAATTTCTCTGTTTAAAATTTATTTTTATTCTAAAAACTGTTTAAAAAAAAAAAGAACAGAGAAAAATAAATAAATGAGAATATTATTGTGAGGTTCTTTCCAAAATTCTCAACTTCGTTGCTGTCTTAATGCAATGCAAAAAACTACAGTCGCCATTATAAGAAAATAAAAAAGCTGAGATAATTTGAAGTTTAAAAACATTCAATTGATGTTAGTTGTTTTGGATCCTGAGTCTATAAATAGATAACATGGCTCTTACATTCTTCATCAACCAAATCAATCACAAGTAAACCAAATGAAAATGAAGACCTTTGACGACCAACGCTTCTTATTATACTTCATCTTATCTATCTTATCACAACCCCACGAGTCTACTCATCATCACCGAAAGTATCTGTTTCGGAGCTTTTCCTCAAATGTCTCGACACTCAGCCAGCCCACCCCGACAGTCTTAACTCCAGAGCCGCCGTGATTCCCACAAACTCATCTTACTCAACAAATCTGATGAGAGCCGTGAGAAACCTCCGGTTCGCTTCTGCCTACACAAGAAAACCGGAAGCCATCGTGGCCGCCCTAAACGAAACCAACATCAGAGCAACAATCTCCTGCTCCAAACTCCTGAACCTTGAGCTCAGAGTCCGCAGCGGAGGCCACGACTACAAAGGCTTCTCCGACACCTATCTCGTGCCGTTCGTGATCCTAGACATGTACAACTTCAACAAAATCGAGAGAACCTGTAAAAATATACTTACCTTACGTAGACGACAAAACGACAAATACTATTTGTTCAAAGAGGTTCATGATCAGAAACACATCACAAATGAAAAATTAGACCTAAACCAAATAACCAATTAGAACCCAGATTCCAAATGAACAAATTCAAACTTGAAAAAGTCTCTTTCTGATTCTCGAAGAATGAGGGGCAAAGAGATTGATCGAGAAAGATCTCTTGTTCTTATTATAAGATCGTGTGATTGGACCCGCAGATGTTTGGTAAAAAGAATAATCTTATCTTAAGTAAACCACCCTCCAAAATTTGCTATATCATACAAACCACACCCTTACTATGCAAGTTACTAAACACAAAGACCGGGTTCTTCTTTATAAATAATCCAATCTTCTTCACCGCATAAGAAGTTTACTCACTGTTGCTTGCACTCCAGTGCCCTCTCACCTTGTTGACCTTCGGTAAGTTGACTGCTTCCAGACTTTTGTTCACAGAGAAAAGAACTCGGGTTAAAAACAGTAAAACAGCCCTTGAATAATTAAGAAGAAATAAAACTGTACGGTCTAGATTAAGTGATTGTTAAAATTATGCCTAGCTGATGACAGCAACAAAACAAAGTAAAACCACCAATATCTTTTTCTGAGGCTTCAAATTTATGTAAAACCGTTATAATCACTTAGTACCTTTTTATACTTTTATTTCCTTGCTCATCCCCTTCATCGACGTCCTCCTCCTCATCTTCCTCCCTTCCACATCCCAATCATCATCTCCGTATTCTTATCATCGCTGTCCATCTCAAGGCCATCTGCGTCAACAATTTCACCAGCAAACCATGGCACAACATGAGAGATGATTTTCTCTATAATGGTTGATCTACAGATTAAGCATTCTTCTGTTCACATCAATAAAATCACCAATTAAACAGTAAATTTTCAACCAAAAACACAATAAGGAAAGCTTATTTGAGAGTAGGAAATAAATATTCCAATGTTTCGCTTAAGGAAATTCTACGACTTAAATCAGAAACTAAAGATGCGCGCAATAAAATCACCAATCACTCTAAAAATATTTGCTATATAATTTACAGAGCACATTCTGTAAACCTCTCACAGATCTACAGATACAAAAACCATTGTAACAGGAAAATATTGTACACAGATTATAAGGGAATTAGAGGTACTCGTGTCCTTACATTCTCATCAATAAGCAACATGTCAAGGCTCATCAATTCACCGGACCAGCTGGTGTTTCTCGCCTTCCAAAAACGCAGACGTCGGACCTCCGCCGTGTTGGAGCACCGGCCCGCCTTCAAATCAGCAAGAAGTGTGTAGGAGGTAGCCATTGCAGGAATAGGTTGCCTGAACTTATCTTCGATAACGGTAGGGGTGGAATCGACATCCTTAGATACATATGTATTTATACTGAACGTAGAGAGAGTTTACGTGGGAGCCCAAGAGAAGAAGATAATGGGTCCAAGAGTCAAGGTGAGAGTAAAGCAGCCATTAATGGTGAGAAACATCGGTTATGTTTGGACATAGTACTTTACGGCGTCGATAGAAACGATGAAGACTCAACAAAACGAAGAAGGGAGGCACTGCAACCCTAAAACAAATGGGCCTTTACAACATGCAAAATGAAGCCCAATTTCAGCATACAAAACCAATACAAAATCGACAAGCTTAAACCGATACGTGGAAGGTTTTATGGTTCGGTTCAATTTTATTGTGGGTGCTGACATGTCATTTTTTGCCCCCTCCTAACATCTGATGTGTACACCTTAAGAAGGGAGAAAAGCTAGCTTTATTATATAAGGTTCGGTTCAATTTTTATTGTGGGTGCTGACATGTCATTTTTTGCCCCTCCTAACATCTGATGTGTACACCTAAAGAAGGGAGAAAATCTAGCTTTATTATATAAGATTTTAGAAAGATATATACATATATATTAATCTTATAATAATTTTAAATAATATGTTACTATTGCTCTATCAATAGTTTATTAAATAGTTTAATAAGAAAATACAGTTTCTACTGCATATTAATGTTATAGCATATTGATACTTGTTTATTATAAGCTCTTGCTAGTCGAGTCCTAATTCAGTAATATGCTCAAAAATTACGCAATGTATACTAATGTTTAATTCGGGTAGATGTAGTCGATGCGAATGTTTTTTCTTAGATGAGTAATAACATAAAGCTTTCTGTTAAATTAGTTATTACGTTCTGCACCATAACAAATTTCTTATGTTTCTATATAATTTTTTTTTTTGACTTTACAATCAACATTTGTGTAAAATTTCTGTATATTGTTGAAAATTGAAAACTTTGTTAATTAATAATTACGTGGTTGGGTGTCACATGACTTGTCTACGCTCGCTCATATTCTCTCCCCGACGAAGAAACACACAAAACCAAATCTTAGCTTAGCACCGCCGCGACCGAATTCGAAATTCCGGTTATCTCCATCGCGGGTAAATCCGACCGCCTATCGTCTCCGATTCTTCTCAAGGATCTAGCGTCTCCGTTTCTTCGTCCAGATCTCGTACTACGATGGAGGCGATCGATGAGCTGTCGCAGCTTTCGGATTCGATGAGACAAGCGGCGGCGCTGCTCGCTGACGAAGATCCCGATGAGAGGTCTTCTTCTAGACGACCGGCTACTTCTCTCAACGTCGTTGCCCTAGGGAATGTGGTGCGTTTTTTCTTCTCGTGTAGATTGTGGATCTCGATGAAATGTTCCCGTAACCTAGGAGTTTGCTAGGATACGTTTGATTAATATCTGGAAGGAAGAAGGTTGATGTGTTTGTTATTTGTTACTATGAGAAATTCACTTCCACAAGTGTCAGATCGATATCTCTGTTATGTAAAACACTTTTCTGTTAAAAGATAGGAGAATAGATTGCTCTTTGTATGTCACTGGAACGTATAAGGGTTAAGTTTTCTCGCTTTGGTTGGTGGAACAGGGAGCTGGGAAGTCTGCAGTTTTGAATAGCCTTATTGGACATCCAGTTCTGGTAAGTTGAATATTGACTGAGTGTGTGGGATTTTGTTTACTTCACTCTATAGTGATACAAGTTAACCACTTTCGTACAAATTACGTTGGACAGCCGACAGGTGAGAATGGTGCTACACGGGCTCCTATAATCATTGACCTCAGTAGGGAGGAATCTCTCAGCAGCAAGGCAATTATCTTGCAGATTGACAATAAAAATCAACAAGTTTCTGCGAGTAAGCCTCCCTCCCTCCCTCCCTCCTATGCAATTTGTACAGCTTTTTCTGCATTGGATGTAATGTTTTCCGTTTTGTTTTGTATGGGATGTATTCTAGGTGCCCTAAGACATTCTCTACAGGATAGGCTTAGCAAAGGAGCCACAGGGAGGGGTCGTGATGAAATATACCTTAAACTTCGTACAAGCACTGGTAAGCCCCTTCTTACTTGTGCAAATCATTATTTCCAAGCCTCATTTATTGGTTGGTCAATTTAACATTCATATTATCGAAGGCAAGTTGGGTTTCTGAATGTGTCCTCGGACATCAGCGAATGCGTCAGTTGTAATGTGTAGCCACGATTAACTAAAATGCACATTAGCAGCTTCACTTTTCATGGGTAGGATCTTAAGCCGAGTTGTGGATATAGGTTATACCTGTAAATGAAGTCCATGGTGCATTAACTTAATATGCTACTCCTAAGAACGTGAATAGTCACATATCAACTGATTCCGTACTGTTTTCTGTAATCATTGTGACATTTTTGTGCCCTTTAAATTGCAGCTCCACCATTGAAACTGATTGATTTGCCTGGACTGGACCAGAGAATTGTTGATGATTCAATGGTAAGATTATGAACTGCATGATGCCTTTCTCATTCCCCTTGTTACCTCTCAATCATACACATTTCAACATTTTTTATTCGACATTCTGGCTGAAAGAGCAACACAGATTTTGATATTTTTCTTCTCGTCTTATAATTATTCTATTTATTCCCTTGGCAAGATTGGTGAACATGCACAGCACAATGATGCCATACTGTTGATTGTTGTGCCTGCTAGCCAGGCGTCTGAGATTTCTTCTTCTCGAGCCTTGAAGACCGCAAAGGAGTATGATCCAGACAGTGAGTACATATTTTCATCATTGAGACCTTTCATTAATTATTATATTTTTGAATTACTGCGGTTGCCCTTACTATATTTTGATTAAACCATTGGATTTCAATAATATACTATAACAAAAGTATTCACATATTTCCCTGTTTATAGGCACTAGGACCGTAGGAATTATCAGCAAAATTGACCAGGCAACGGAGAACCCAAAAGCGCTTGCAGCAGTTCAGGCTCTTCTTTCAAACCAGGGACCTCCCAAAACAACCGATATTCCATGGGTTGCACTTATTGGTCAATCTGTCGCAATTGCATCAGCGCAGTCTGGAGGCAGTGAGAACTCTTTAGAAACTGCTTGGCGTGCTGAAAGTGAAAGCCTCAAATCCATTTTGACTGGTGCTCCACAAAGCAAACTTGGTAGAATTGCCCTGGTGGACACCCTTGCTAGCCAGATTCGTAGCAGAATGAAGCTCAGGCTACCAAATATCTTGTCTGGGTATTTCTCTGTCCATATGTTTGCTTTAAGATGTCATATTTGCAAATGAAAATGGATTGCTTGTTTTGCATATTTCGGTACTTGTAGTTTAGATGAGACTTGCAATTTGCTGCATGAAAGCCTACCCGTTTTTTAATCTTTGAAGTGGAAATCAATCTTTAGGCTTAGTTACTTGGACTTTCAAGCTCCCATCCTCAGTAACGCACTTCTCATGATATGTACGACAAATCTTTATCCCCGATGCTTATCTTCGTGATATGTTTCTTTCATCGTCCGTGTGATTACTGTCTTTTGTTTTAGTTTTCTGAATGATTGTTCATGGACATGGTTTTGATTCTTACGAAAACTCTAAACATTCAAATTCTTTTCTTACATGCACAGACTCCAGGGTAAGTCTCAAATAGTGCAGGACGAATTATCAAGGCTTGGTGAACAACTGGTTAGCAGTGCTGAAGGTACAAGGGCTATAGCTTTGGAGCTTTGCCGTGAGTTTGAGGAAAAGTTTCTTCTCCACTTGGCTGGTGGTGAAGTGAGTATTTTCCTGCATAAGCTGAACAATATTTTAGTCATGAAAATTTTGAATAAGAGCATATCACCCACATTACCTAGTAAAATATCACTGATCAGCTTTTTAGTTGTTCTACTTGTAACGGAAAAAAGTGTATTCTATTCTAATGTAGAGGATAAAAATTTCGGAATTTTACTTTATATTATCTGGAATTTGATGAAACTTTATATCATCTGGAATTTAATGAAACTGATATTCGTTGTCCATGCTCTACGTTTCACTGAGCAAGTTTTTGAATTGCATATCTTGTTATCGTGCCTTTCAAGTGCTGAAGCCACTTTTGGAGCTAGATAAATTATGTTTTTAACAAAATTTTGGTACAGGGAAGTGGTTGGAAAGTTGTCGCAAGTTTTGAAGGCAATTTCCCCAACCGTATCAAGCAGCTTCCATTGGATAGATACTTTGACTTGAATAATGTTAAAAGGGTGGGTTTCAGCATATTTTTGTACCAGTTCTAATGAACAAGTAAACAATTTAGATGGGAATTTGACAGATTGATTTTCTATCCGTTTCAGATTGTATTAGAGGCAGATGGTTATCAACCTTATCTTATCAGTCCGGAGAAAGGGTTGAGATCGTTGATAAAGATTGTTCTTGAGTTGGCTAAGGACCCAGCACGACTATGCGTTGATGAGGTGTGTCCAACGTTAGTATTTATAGTTTATATGGTGTTGTCTTTCTCTAACTTGAGATG